TTTTTGAGAGATGGAGTCTTGCTCTGTCACCCAGGCTGGAGTGCACTGATATGATCCCTGCTTACTGTGACCTCTGCCTCCCAGATTCAAGCAATTCTCTACCTCAGCCTCCCGAGTAGCTGGGATTACAGGTACCCACCACCATGCCTAGCTCTTCTTTTCTTGTTTTCGTTTTGTTTGTTTGCTTTGTTTTGTTTTATTTTGTTTGAGATGGAGTCTTGCTCTGTCGCCCAGGCTGGAGTGCAGTGGTGCGATATCAGTTCACTGTAACCTCCCTGGTTCAAGAAGTTCCCATCTCAGCCTCTGGAGTAGCTGGGATTACAGGTGCATGCCACCATGCCCGGCTTCTCCTGGTCTTTTCAAAGGGAAATGTGGACAGGCCATTAACACTAAGTACATGAGTTTCCATGGTGAAATCTTTGCTACTCTAGTAGACTGGTGGGGGCAGTGCCACTGCAGGTGGGCCAAATGCCATGTAACTGGCCAAGGTGTTTTCACTGTGAGCCTCAGTTTCCTGATAGGAAAACAATGGGATTAGATTAGCTTGCTGATGTTCAAAGATTTTGTTTCAGCATTGGGATCCTTTTGCAAATGAAATCTTATGAGGTAAAAAGCAGACCTGGGATGGATAGACTTCTGAGTGTAACAGCTATGCAGGATGTCTGTGCAGACATCCAGGAGAACCTCCCCTAGGTGCCCGCAAAGATAAAGAGGTTTACTACAGGCAAGGACAGGTTCAGGGACCCCAGGAATTCCTGAGGCCTTGATTAGATCTCAGCTCTTAAGAACAGCAGTGTTGTTCAAACCTCATGGACAGTGACACAGAGTCAAAAATGAAGTTTGCTTCAAGATATAGTACATATGTACTGATATACAAGTTTTCATAAAACATATATGCTGTAAAAGAAAAGAGTGTCCCACACACTGGCTAGGGCAAGCATGTTTGGGAAACATAAGCCACAAAACTCTTCTTGGAAATCAGTTGTATGTCTGATTAAATGCTTGAGCAATTTCTTGATGAATTTTAATGAGATTATGACTTCTTAGAAACCAGTTACCTATGCACTCAGCTAATGTCAACCCCGAAGGAAAGGAACCCAAGGAAATTTAACTGTTGTTTAATAAATCTAATAACCTTTGACTAGAACTTCTTTTCCTGTATCCAGTAAGATAAAAGCACATAGATAAAGCTGAGAAACTGTCTTTTGAAACTTAAAAAAAAAAAAATTCAAAGATGGGAGCAAGCCAAAAACTTTGAGAACAGGTTTGCAATGCAAATAAGTGAGACTTTGTATTCAGACTATTTAAAGGACTCAGGTAAGAAAAAGACATGAAAGAAGAAAAACAAGCAAAGATATGAACAGAGAAGTCTCAGAAAACAAAACTCACAGTGGCAATACGCATCTGAAAAGATGCTCTACCCCACTCGTAGACAGGAAAGAACAACTTAAAATTACTAAAACTTTAGAAACTTGGAGGAAGGACCCTGGAGAGCTGCAACTCAGACTTTGATCAGGGGCGCCAGTTGGCTGGTACCGGTATTCTGAACCAGGATGCGATAAAATTGGTTCTTCAAACATTAGAAAGTTGCAACCTGGATTCAGCTGCCACTAAGAGAAGGAACTGCCGCTACCAGGGTGAAGTAGTTGCTGGTATGAGCTCAACATGGAGCCAGGTGGCAAGGCAGAAATCTGGTTTGCAGAGACCTAGCCTTGGCATGAAGCTGAGTATAGAAGGTAGCGGGTCAGAGCCAAGGCACAAAGTCCAACTGCCACAGTCAATTCTATTGGTTAACCAGTATTATATTTAAACTTCCATACCAAAAAGAAAAAACGTTCTTTTCTATCTCACACAATGCAATGATTCTTCATAGAAATAAAGATACTATTAGTCTCTCCTTGAGAAAAGAGATACACGAGGTCCCAAAAGTCACCACTCCATAAATGTAGTCACAGTCCTGTCTGATATTCTGTTGTCTAAAAACTAAATTATGAAGTTAATCTTCAACAAAATGTATATAAAATAATGAGAAAGAGACTTTCAGCTTGAGTGAAGGACAAGGAACTGGATTTACCCTTTTTCCTGAAATAAGAAACAGACAAAAGTGGGCCCCACAATTGCCCCAGCTTACTGCCTGGAGAAAGCTTCCCAGCTGCAGAGTAGGAAGAAGGAACCCCAGCAGAGTCCTACCATCTTCCTGATTTAAGGAGACAGAAAGACCTGGCAGTACTGGGAGGCCAATACAGCCAGAATTCACAGGGCAGCATGCAGAAATTGAGAGCACGGTACAGAAAGATAACTCTAGAGAAACAAAGGTCCCCATCAAGTATTCAGCTGAATATGGGAGAAAAGCGAATAAGGTGTTACCTTGAAGATAGGATTTATCAATGGAAGGCACCTCAGCATGGCCACAGCAATGCCCTAAGCCATCAAGTGTCCCCAGAAGATGAGACACAGCTCATGGAGCTGGAAGTCAGAGCTATGCACTCAGCATTTGGCCAGAAGCGAGACCATTGGAGGATCTATGGACGAGCAAAGCGGAGGTGGCAGGGATCCTGTGCTGGGCAGCTGGAGCTGGAGCAGGGGCAAGACGTGGGGAGAGAAGGCATGAGTGCCAGGCGCTCTGCAATCTGATCCCCTCCCTTGAGTGTTTAACCTTGCCCTTGTCCTCCAAAGGTGTTTTGCTTTCCCCATCTCACTGCTGCCGCTCCCTGTAGCTACCATTTCCTCCCTGCCCTTTCCTCCCCTGCATTGGCACCCTACAAGCTCCTCTGCCTCCAGCATTCTGCAGAAACTGCCCCTCTAGGGCCTCCTCCAGCCTCCACTTCCCCTTTCAGTCCCCGCAGTGTGGACAAGTTTCAAACTGCCTGCTTCCTTCATCCCACACTCTGATTTCGAAATCTCATCTTTCAGTCCCACCTCTACACAAAGGACTAAATCTCTAGTTCTCAGCTGCTTGCTGGACAATTTCAGTGTCTTCCCTTTACCTCAATATTGGCCAGACAAAAGCCTACCTGAGCACCCTGTCCTCTTCGTTTGTGCTATTTCCGCAGGCAGCTGGCCTGGCTTCCCTTTGCTCTCTCCTTGACCTCCCTCTGCACTCGCATCCATCTGTCCTCTCCATCCCGATGGTCACTACCCACATGTGAGCTCCCCTCTTCCTGGGGCCAGTACTGGAGTGTGTCACCCTAATCCCCGTTTCTAGCATCTCCCCTCTCTAACTCATCCTAAATACGACTGCCCACACCGTGTGCCCGCAGCACATTTCAGCATGGCCTTCTCCAGCTCCCCACCTCATTCTCCTTAGCCTGGTTTAGTCTGACCCCCAGTCCAACTGTCCTGACTCCTCTACCTCAGCTTCTACCCAGTTTGTCTTGCCCCTGAAGATGGGTCCCTCCTCTCCCTCCTGCTTGTCTGAGACCTGGCCCTCCTCCAAGGCTGGTGACCCCCACCCCCCCATCCCTCCTGGGCTGTCTCTGTCCTCAGGGACTTCCTCAGTCCTGGAGCTTCTGCAGACTGGTCCAGTCTGTGTCTTCAGCTACACTGCAAGGCTTCAGTTCAGAGACTTGGCACATTCCTCCTTTCAGGTCTTCCCGACGCCTTACACCCCAGCGCTTTTGCAGATGGTGCTCAGTGCATTTCAATATGGGGCTGAGCTGAGAAGGCCGGAGGCTGGGAGCAGAAATCCTGAGTCCTCTCACCTGGATGACCATGGGCAAGAGTTTCTCATCAGGCTTCAGCTTCAGCATGACCAGAGGGGCAGCTAGTTGCTGCTGGCTACAAAGAATGATGTTGGCCTTGATCCCATCCAGCAGGGAGAAGTCAGCTTCAAACAGTGTGCCTCCCTGGGTGGGGAAGAGGCCAAGGGCTGCTATCAGCATAAGACGTCTTCTTCCTACTCTGATTCCTCCAAGGCGGAAGAGAGAGAGGGGAGCGGGCTCGTCTCCATCACCTACTTTGTACCAGGTGGTGGATTATGGGCTTGTTGCTGCGTATCAGTTTTTTTGAGCCAGGGTCTTACTCTGCTGCCCAGGCTGGAGTGCAGTGGCAGGATCACCATGGCTCGCTGCAGTCTTAGCTTCCTTGGGCCCAGGTGATCCTTCCACCTTGGCCTCTCAAGTAGCCAGGACTTACAGGTGCATGCCACTACATCAGAAATGACAGGCGCTAATTTTTGTATTTTTGTAGAGAGAATTTCACCATGTTGCCTAGGCTGGCCTCCAACTCCTGGGCTCAGGCAATCCTCCTGCCTCGGCCTCCCAAAGTACTGGAATTACAGGTTATGAGCCACTGTGCCCAGCCTTATAATTTTTATACATAGTTGAATGAGCCTCAATTTTACAGAAGTAAAAACAGATAATCAGAGAGGTAAGCTGAGGTCACACGGCTTACAAATAGCAGAACCAGCGTTTACGTCCAAGCCTAACTGCCCTGTAATCCCATGAATTTCCTCTCTGTTGTTCCATGTTGCCTCCTGATTAACAGCCACAGCACTCTGACCCTGCACACTCTGCACACTCCCTTAATCCCTCGCAGCAAGGCCCAGTCACCTTACTTTGATTGACCCTGTTACTATCAACCATTCCACCTTGCACACCGTCCCTCTGCAGAATGCTACTTCTGTGTGGAAAGGAGGCTGTGCAGCTGAGCTTCCCCAGGACCCCTCAGGGCCTCTCCTGCAGAATCCCTCCTTGCCGGCTGGCAGCAAGCCAGACCCACAGTGGGTCCCGCAGCGGCATCATTGATGCCAGCCTGCCTCACTTCACTGCTGAGCCTCCTCAGGGCTCTGATGGCCTTACCTCCAGCTCCTTCTCCAGCTGGGCCTGCAGTTCCTCCATGCCTGGAGGGAACACCAGGCAGGCAGAAAGGTGACTAGAGCACCTCAGCACCATGGGGTTGGCCTCATTAAGAAATTGGTACCCAAATAAGGCATTTTCCTTCCAGAAGTGCCGCACACACCCTGGGGAAGGCGGCTGTTGAGCAAGTTGTGGGATCTGAGCTCTTGGTCCTTTCAACCTCATCACACATGACTTCTTGACTCCAGCCCACCAGAGGACCCAAGTCTCTGGTCTCCCCAACCTGGTTCTTCCAATTCCCCTGGATTGGGTGGGATCTGGGGGTAAGGGTCCTGGGACACGTATCGGGGTGGGGGGCTGACCCGCCAGCTTGCTCTGGCCACACCAGAAAATCCGGTCGAAGTCATCCAGATCCTTCCAGCAAGTCAGAACATTTAAAGAGTCTTTGATAGCAAGGTTGGCCAGCCTTCAGGGAAGGATGGGGCAAAGGGTTTGAGCATCATTCTGAGACTCCAGCATTACAACCACAGGCACCTGTCTTGGGCCCGTGCAGTGCAGCCCATAAGTCCCTTGCCTTCCACCTCCCTCTCACCCAGCCACCCCTTGCTCTCAGCCCTTGGCCAGAGAAGCCTCAAAGTCAACTCTCTTGTCTTCCAGAAATCGCTCATCCACAGGGAGGTCACACAATTTGGCTCCAGCCACATTAAGAATCAGCCCATCCTTCCAGCTTCCCCACCTGTGGGGCAGGAGTGAAATCAGGCAGGGGTGCTAGAGGCATCAGGAGCTCCCTGGGGTCAGGGGAGGAGGGCTCACCGGTTCGGCTTCCTTCTCTCTTCCAGCTCCTCTTCCTGGTGTTTCCTGAACAGGCCTTGGGGGTCGCCGACCACAGTGTGGCCTAGAAGGAGAGGGGAGGGCTTGGCCAATGACTTTTTCTGCGAGTCTCTTCTCCTTCCTGCCAAGAAAGCCTCATCACCCCTGCCTTCTGTGTGGCCCCTGCCCCTTCAGCACCACGACCCTTCCCCAGCCTCCAGCCACTCTGTGCCAGCTGCATCCACTGCCCCTTCGACACTCCCGAAGACCCCTGCGTTTCAGGTTCCAGCGCCCCCCATCCCGCACCCTCTCCTCCACACCCGCATCCCTCCAGCTTCTCTCGCACCCCAGAGGCCTCCTGCCATCCCCAGCCCCGCTCTCACCAGGGCTCAGGACTTCGTCGCCCTCCACCCAGCGATAACAAGGGAACCTGACTTCGATCCAGCTGCAGAACCAGGCGTCGTCCTGGAGGAGGTGTCTTTTGCACAGTTTCACGAACAGCAGCGGCCCCAGGTACTCCGGTACTTTCACCTGGACTTTGGTCTCCTGTGGGCGGGCGGCAGCAGAGGCTCGGACCCGGTGGGGCTTGGCCAAGGGGCACTCGGCTAAGCCCTCCAGCGCCCACGCCCTTCCTCGGAGCCTCTGAAAAAGCGGTGCGAAGAGAGCGGGGGAGCGGGGACTCGGTTCTGAGGGGAAGAGGGCAGCAGGTAGAAAGGTTGCTCCTTCCTTCACTTTCTCTTCCCTGTGGTCATTCACTGTTCTAAGCCCTGGGCTGGGCGCTGGGAACCCGGAGCGGTGCCCTGGACAAGCGCGCTGTGAAGCCGGGACTTGCTGGTGGCAATTCCCGCTGTGCGACCCCCTCCCCCGAGGCCCTTCAGGGGCCCCACCGGCCTGGGGACAGCCTTCCCGGAGACCTGGAGGTGGGGATGGCTCAGCCAGGAATAGTGAGAGGGTAGACAGGGGAAAGGCGTGACAGGCAGGGACAGAACGTGACAGACAGGGTCAGCAGGTCGGGAGGCTCTTGAAGGTGGCCCCAAGGGCTTTGGATTTGGTCCCCAGGACAAGGGGGAGCCATTCAAACGCGTTAAGCAGCGGGAGTGAATTAGGGAGAAGTCCTTCTGGCTTCAGAAGGGCTTGGCAGGTCTGCAGCAGAGGTGGCGAGGCCGCTGGAGGTGTGAAACGACTTTTAAAATCGAGAAGGCAGGAGGATCGACGACTGCTCCAGCGACCGCAGTTTCCAGGCGCCAAAGCTGGCGCTCAGAAGCATCCCTGAATTTCCAAGGAGATCGAGCAGCGGGAACATTTATTGAGCGTTTACTGTGTGTCACCAGCTGCCCACCCTAGGGAGGGAAGAAGGGAGGAAGGAGTGCGCCTTTCCACCTTCCGTCCTCCGTTTCATCACCGTGGAGTTGCGGGGCCACCTGCTCTGTGCGCATTTTCTTTCTCTGAAGCTCGGAGCAAGAGCATGGGGGTGTGGGGAGCAGGGCTCAGCAGGTTTAAGGGGACGTGGGCGGTCGGGGGCGGGGCGGATATTGAGCAAGGACGCGGGAGATGCTCAGGGTCTAGAACGGACTGCGCCGAATTCTTGTTTAGAGGGAGGTGAGGTGAGGGAGGTGAAGCAAGGGAGGAGGCGCGGGTGACACCAGGGGAGGCAGGAGGAGAGTTCTGGGAGGTCGGAAGAGGGGCGGACCTCATTCGGGCAAGTTTCTTTGAAGTTCCCTGGGATAGACATCCGGATTTGGGGAACTTGGGTAGAGCTATACCAGTGATGGAAATTTGGGGTTGGTGGAAGAAAAAAAAGTAACAGGACCCGGTGGAACTCCAGGTTGATATGATATACGATGGGATGTGGGTCGGCAAATCGGGAGTGTTCTCCTGTCTTGGCTTTCCATCCGTTCCCTGTCACCACCCACCCCACCCCAGGCGATAAAGCCCGAAAGGTCGGAGATTCAACAGCGCTGGCGCTTGAAACGGCTTTTTAAAATAGAGAAATTGAGAGGGCCGACGACCCCTCCAGTGACCGCTGAGTTTTCAGACAAGGGAGCTCTGTGCAACGAGGGGCGCACAGGAGCATCCCCTCACTTCCAAGGAGATCGCGTAGCCGGGACATTTATTAAGCGCTTACTGTGTGCCACCTGCGTGTTTTCTGTCCAAAACACGCAGGAAGAAGGAATCAAAGCCTGGTACAGCAGGCAGGCGAGGTGGGGGAAGGAGTTATGCGAGCGTGTACCACGGACTTTGGGGCAAGTCTGGATGGCTGGGAAGCCAACCTCCATCTAAAGGGAAGCGCGTGCGCACGCACACACACACCCACACACGCACACACGCCTCACAAGTCGGATTGCAGGAGAGGGTGAAGTAGGCAAGGAGACCCAGTCTGCCGTGGCGCTTGAGGAAGGTATATGTAGGCTACTGAATTCATTCCACCAACTTTGCACACTTGTCTTCCTTGTGCCAGACTCTGGGACTCATTCCCCCCCACCATCCTTTTTTTTTTTTTTTTTGGGACGGAATCTCACTTCTTCGCCCAGGCTGGAGTGCAGTGGCGCGATCTCGGCTCACTGCAACATCCACCTCCCGGGTTCAAGCAATTCTCCTGCCTTAGCCTCCCGAGTAGCTGGGATTACAGGCGCGCACCACCACGCCTGGCTAACTTTTGTATTTTAGTAGAGATGGGGTTTCACTATCTTGGCCAAGTTGCTCTCCTGACCTCATGATCTACCCGCCTCGGGCTCCCAAAGTGCTGGGATTACAGGCGTGAGCCACCGCGCCCAGCCAGGACTCACTCCATTTGAGGGTAAAACTCTCTGCCTCCCTGGGCTCCCGCCCCTCGGGCGCTCCCACAGCCGGGCACCGAACCCTTGCCATTATGAGAGAGCCAGCCTGGGCTGAACCCGCGAGGCCAGGAATGGGCGGAGCCACCGCCGCCATATCCCACATGCCCCGGGACGGGAGGAGGGAGCCGTGGTTTCCGGAACTTCTTAAGCTCCTCCGGGCTTTTGCTCTGTTGGGCTGGTGTTGATTCAGTGTCTATTTGCTATGGCCACTGCCGTCGCTATGGAGACAGGTGAGTAGCTCTCTGAGCCTGGAGTCGTTGCAGATAGAACCCTCCTCGGCCGAGACCGCTTCTCACCTTCCCTGGGGCCTCCTTCCAGGCCTCACCCTCTGCAGGGTATGTGGACAGGGAGGAGAGAAGGCTCTTGTAGCGTCTAGAAAGGCTAAGGTACTCTGCAGTTTTCCTAATTTGGTTTGTTTGCACATCTTTGCTATTCAAACACGACCCCACCAGCTCCCCGGCGTGGGCGACACTAAGGGAGAGGAGTTGTGTCTTAATGCGTGTCCTCCTTATGTCTTAAAGCGCGTCCTTGATTGGCTTTCTGCTTCTCACATGAGCTTGCATACGTTTGAAATATTGTCGCCAGACTTGTGTTTCATTCTGCTACTTGTGCTTCTTATATATGCGTACGTTCTGTGATCTTTTAGGCCCTCTGCAGTATCTTTTTCAGCTTGCATCCTAAGTTTTTCTTAACAGATTCAGCACGTAGCTTTTGCGAAACTTAATCACTGTTAACAATTGTTACAACGCATTATTAAAATAGGGGAAGCCACAGTTACTACAGCCTACGTTAGTGATCACTGTTAAAATTCCTGCAAAGTGGCCCACGAGTGGTAGGAATTCTCCGTTTGTGTTGCTGTTTTCTTTGATGACTTCTCCTTAACTTTAGAGGTAACCCTCTTCCATGACTGTTTCTTAGGTCTCGCTGCAATCCTGATGTGCAGAAGTAGGTGCTGCCCCAGTGGACCATGCTCTAGCTTTTCAAACTGCTAGAACTGTCAGTGTTTGTCAGCCTCGACACTGTTGACATTTTGGGACCAGTGATTCTTCGTTGTTGGCAGAGGGTGGGGGTGTTGATCTGTGCACTGTAGGATGTGAGGTGGCATCCCTGGCCTCTACCCACCAGGTGCTAGTAGCACCTTCTGTGCACCACCCCCCAACTTTTCCACCAAACGATAATGTCTCTAGAAATTGCCATATATCATCTGGGGGACAAAATCACACTTCGTTGAGAACCACTGTCCCACGTTCTACACACAGAAGCCAGAAGGATATTTTTAAAATGTAAATGCCATCATGTCATTCCCCTGTTGGAGACCCTCCAATGTTTTCCTGTTGACCTTAGAATAAATCTCAAACTCCTTACTGTGGCTTAGAAGACCTTCTGTGGACTGTCCCCTGCTTGCTTTAATCTCCTGTCTTCCATTCTGCTTCCATGTGTATATAATTGCCCCTATCTCACTCCAGCCACACTGGCCTTCTTTCTGTTCCTTGAACATTCAAAACTTGTTCCATCCACCTTTTGTATTTGCTGTTCCTTCTGCCTAGAATGTCCCCTTTCCAGATCACTGTTCGTTCACACATGTCTCAGATTAAATGTCACCTAATGAGTAAGTAATCTCGATCACATTACCCATATATTTCCTTTATAGTGCTAATCACAGTAGAAAATTGTCTCCTTTCATCATTGCTTGTTTACCTTTTCACCAGAGTGTAAGCTCCACTAGAGTTGGGTCTTTGCCTTTTTTACTGCTATAGTCCAAGTTCCCAGAATACAGACAGTTCCCAATGGTACAAAAGTGACATTCAGTAAAAATACTACTTTAAGTACTCATACAACCATTGTTTTTCACTTTTAGTATAGTAAGCAATAAATTACATGAGATATTCAACATTTTATTATAAAATAAGCTTTCTGTTAGATGATTTTGCTCAACTTTAGGCTAGTGTGTCCTAAACGTGTTTAAGGTAGGCTAGGCTAAGCTACGATATTTAGTAGTTTGTAGATAGTAAGCGCATTTTCAAATTACCATATTTTCAGCTTACAATGGGTTTATTGGGAGGTAACCCCATCGAAAGTGGAGGAGCATCTGTAGTGCCTGGCACAGAGCAGGTTCTCAATAAATATGACTCTTGTCCATCTTCTTCAAACCTCAGGTCAGGTTTCAATGACCTCCTTTCACTTTCTCTTCTAAGATTATTTTTGCTTACTGGTGGGTTTGCTGTAGTTTTTAAGTACATCTAACCTACCTTAAAAAAGTGTATGGATAGGTGTGCCAGGTACAAAGACTTAACATAAAGAAAACCATTTACTTTGAAACGTAAACAAAGCCCAATTACTAATTTATGAGTCTGTTGCCTCTCAAGCTTTTAGCAAGCATGGAATCATTCCACAGGTCATGATTTCAGTTTGGTCTCTGTTCCTAAGGGGTGAAGGTCATCTGAGGGCTTTGGATCCCAAACTCGCCTGGCTCAAAGGCTCAAACAGCCTCTTTGTCCATCAACCCGATTTATACAACATCCTGGGCCTGAAAACCTTTTGTGCTGGCTTCAAGTGAAAATAATTCGCTGGGTCAAAAGTAGGCTGGTCCAAGATGCTGCAGGACGACGGTCAAACCTTGGATGTTTATTGGAACGGCGGCTTGGCTGTCTCTTACATTGATTTATGGGCTGTTTCCATGAAACCAAAAAACATTGGTCCACCTGGCAGCTGGAGGCCTTTCTGTCCTGGCTGAGGGCCCTGGCTCCTTGGTGGCCCTTGGGAAGCAGCATCTCATCAGGCCATTTTTTCCCTCGGTGGGGAGCAGCCGGCCTGGCCCGTGGGGCCGGGCTCTCCGCGCGGTGCAGAGAAGTCTTCATCTGCAGGGACGAGGCCCTGACGTGGTGGGAGGCCGTTTCCATGTGCTGCAAGGAGGCTTCCACGTGCAGGGAGGACGCCTCGAGGACGCTAGGGAGCCGCTTTCCTGACGGTGAGAGGGAGGGCTCCTCACTGCAGCGCTGGGAGGTCTCCACCCGCTGGGATGACGTCTCCACGCGGTGGGACCAGGTCTCCACGAGGACCGTGGATGTCTCTGTGTAGCAGGCGGTCCCCACCCGGGGCGAAGCCTGCTTGTCTCCTCGAGCTGAGGCCATTCTGCCAGGCGTGAGGGGGTCAGGGAGGCCTCTGGGCACCCCACATACCAATGGCCACCGCAGGCAAAACAGAGGAAAACTACTGTACTGCCACAGGCGGGAGCGCCACAACATGGTGACATGGAAGCTCTATGGTCCTTCGATGGCTAAAACACTGGGCTCCTGCCCCTCGGTCGCTCCCAAGGCCCCATTCCCACCCTCTGCCATTCTGGAGCCAGCGGGGGTGGAGCTGGCCGGGGATGGGCGGAGCCTCCCCGCCCCATATCCCACAATGCCCCGAGACCGGAAGAGGGAGTCGTGGTTTCCGGAACTTCCCTCCCCGCTGTGGGCTTTTGCTTTGTCCTGCTGGTGGCGAGTTGGTGTCTACGTTTGTTTGTTATGGTCTACGTTTGTTATGGTCGCCGCTGTCGCTATGGAGACAGGTGAGTGGCTCTCTGAGCCTGGAGTCTTCACAGATGGAATTCTCCTAGGCCCAGACCGCTTCCCCGGGGCCGCCTTTCAGGCCTCACTCGGCAGGGTTCGTATTTGGACAGGGAGGAGAGAAGGCTCTTGTGGCGTCTAGAAAGACCAAGGTACTTTTCGCAGCTCTCCTAATTTGGTTTATTCCACATCTTTGCTATTCAAAAACCACCAGCTCCCCAGCGTGGGCGAGATTAAGAGAGGACGTGGGTGTTAAATAATGTCTTCCTTAATTGGTTTTCTGCTTCTCACGAGCTTGCATGTTTGAAATATCGTCGCTAGACTTGTGTGTCATTCTGCTGCTGGTGCTTCTCATATATGCATACACTCCACGACCTTTTAGGCTCTCTG